TTCTGTTTAACTGACTTCCAGGTTGCAATTGCTGATCATGATGGTGTACTAACTTGTTTTGGGATGAAAAAACAAACTTCCCAGGTTAGTTGTGTGGTGCAGACTGTACTTAAATTTAAATTCAAGAACTGCAGATCAGTTACTGCAATTACCTTTGTAATGTAAAACAGAAAATCTCTGAAGTAAATTGATCAATGAAATTAATAATAATAATAATAATAATAATAAACAGTTTAACGTGGAGAAACACTTAGCTAGAAGCTAGTTTACAGGTTTTCCACGAAACAACTTAAACAAATAATTCAAATTGAAAATAACGTTGTTACGAATCCCAACTGGCTGAAGGCAAACCAGTTGGCTATATTACAAGCATGGCCGAGGATTTGAAACTCGGGGCTACCGTGAAACAAATTCAAGTAGTGGCCAGGGCGGAACTTGAACCCAGGAGCGACGGATTGCAAGTCCGACATGCTGACCACTCGACCATGCTGCCTTCTGTAAAATTATCCCTCTGCTAGAAGCTTGGTGCTTTAATTAATATGGAGTGATTTATTTAGAGAGGGATAAGAACAGTTGGTTTAAATGTCTTACTTTCTGTACTTGATTCCCACTCACTGGAATACAGGTGGTTTTCAAGACACTTCCTGGATCACCAATATCTAAATTACAACTTGGTGGCCTGGATGGTCCTTCGCAGGAGAAGGTGTTTGTGGCGTCTGGGGCTGAAGTGCGGGGCTATACTAAGAAAGGAAAACATTTCTTGGGATTTGACACCAATCTGACTGAAAGTATTCAGTCCATGTAGGTCCAATGTTTATCTCTGGGTTTTTAGTAGTAAATGAAATAGACAGGGTTTTTTTTTAACATTTTTGATGTAAAAATGGTTTTCATTAGAAGTTGAATGATTTCTATAAAAGCACATTGTGTTTCTTTTTGGCAGGTTTGTTAATGGCGCTGATCTTTTCCTTTGTGGAAACTACATTTATAATCATTACCGTGACTGCAAAGATGAAAACTATTTCTTGTCTGGAGATAAGATTACTGATGTCCTTTGTTTACCAACAAGAAAGTAAGACAAATTTTTTGATATTGTTTCAAGTGAAAATCACTTAACTTATTACAGCTCAGTTAGATATTCTCGTGGTATTTTGTTCAATAATTTTGTACATAAACAATCTGAGTAGGTGAAGGATTTAAATGCCTTCTGATGCCCTTTCCCAATACCAGTTAACACAGTCTACCAGAAAAATTCTTATCCAGCACTAGTCCAGGTGACAAATTTTCACTGAGGCTTATTTGCTGGAGTACAGTTTATCACATGGATAGAAATTATTTACCTTTGATATAACATAGTGTCTTAACAAGAAATTCTATTTTGGACAATTTTAGAAACACAGATGCATTAGTTCCCATTTTGGCCTGTGAAGACAGAGTTCTAAGGGTTTTGCAGGTAACTAATAATTTAATAGCTTTCAATTGGTGGGCAGATTGAAGTAATACTAATTTGAACAATGTACACTGCTTTAGCCACTGCTTTAGACTGATGTTTCCTTATAATGAATAATCTTACTACTACATGAATTGTAACCTTGAAGTGAATATTATCATTTCATTATTAGGAATCTGATTTGCTGTATGAAGTTGAAGTAGCTGGACCGCCACTGGTGCTTGCTCTTCTTGGTGGGAATGGAGGTTGGTAGTAAACATGGAATACAAGTTATTTGTTAATGTATCTATCCAGTGACTTTAGATGGGTCTTAACACTGACAAGAGTAAATCAATCTGAGGGCATGTTTACACTAGATATACTATATTCAGTGGCTACTGGTTCATTGTTTATGGTAGTCAACATTTACTACTTTGCATCAGGTGATTACAACAGGGAGGTGGACTAATATTAATTATAACAATAACTCAACTTATATTCACTTTTTCCCTTATCTTAAGGTTTGTCTGGAGAAGAGGTTTTGTATGGAACATCAGATGGAAAAGTGGGATTGATTCAGTTAGGAAGGTAAATTTAAATATTGTCTAAAATGTGATTTGAATTAATATAGGAACAAACGTAACGCTTTCATAATTTTGTGATCTCATCAAAACTGGGAAATATCTGTTCAGACATATTCCATGTGTTCATGGTTTCCAAGTTTAATAATGCAAAATTTTAATCTTTATCAACTTGAAGGATATAAATTCACCTGTTTATAGTTATTTGGGAAAAGGGTTCTCTTGACCTATACAACCTTATAACAAATTAAATTAAAATTAAAAGTCATTCATCTGAAAACTCTGAAATGTTTTATTTTTAGGCATTCACCAAATCACAAGTGGGAAATTGCAAATGACAAGCGGAATGGAGGTATAAGTTGATTTTCATTGACCCCAGAGACTATGCTTTTCACAGAAGCCGCAAGATCCTAGAAAAATTTATTAACAACTGATCAGCTAGCTGTCATGCATTTGTATAATTTAGGAAAATGATACAACTTTTATTAGGAGTTGAGTAAAGACATTGTTGTTTTTTTTCTTTTTTCCCATTTTATCAGGTGTCTTGGCACTGGAAACTTTTGACATAACAGCTGATGGTGTGCCTGATGTTCTTATTGGGCGTGATGATGGTTTGGTTGAAGTGTACGGTTTTGATGAGATGGATGAGCCAGTTCACAGATTTAAACAGGTCAACCCCTTACACTTTACCGTCAGTATACATATTCTTCATTCTGTTCTCTATGCATTTCCTAAGATGCTGACAGGAAAAGTTTGTAGAACAATCAAGCGCTTCTTTGTTTGGTGAACATTTTCTTTTTTCTGGCGTCCTTAATGAATGATTCAGCTGTGATGTACTAAGGAGAAATTAGATTTTAGACAGTCTCAGAGTTAATAGACATGTGTAATAATATGAGAGTGACAAGGCAGTGTGTTCAAAACACCAACACAAGCTATTGAACTAATTTCCAGGCTTTAAGTGAGAGCATCACATCTGTATGTGGAGGCTGTGTGAGTTCATCAGGTTATGATGAGATTATAGCAGCTACTTATGCTGGTTGGGTGGTAGGTCTTACTACAGAACCTCAACAGAAGGAACTGGGACCCACTAAACCAGAAGCACAGGAACCAATCAGTGAGGAAGTACAGGCCAAAATGGACAAACTTAGGTAAGAAATACTGCAGACCACTCAATATATACTCCAGAGTGCTAAACATGAAACCCCCTTGTACCATCTCCTTAATCACAGATTATGCAGTGAGCATTTACAGATATTAGTTAAGATTATTTGCTTTCTAGCAGAAATTTATCTATTTTTTCATTGCATTCGTTACCAATTAAAAACCAGTTCCAGACATTAAAATTCTCACCAACCATATGCCTTCAAGCTTCAATCAATTTCTTATCACTGTGAATAACAGAGATCTCACTTTTCAGGTTGGAAATTGACACCCTTCAACATAAGGTGGTACAAGAACGGGAAAAATACCAGCTAACTGCACACTCCGTGTCTGCCCTGTCAGCGATTCCTCAGTTTGCAATCAATGATAAGTTTGCACTGAACAGGGATGATGCCAGCTATACACTGAGTATTGAAGTTCAGATTCCCATTGACAATGTCTTGTTACAGGTAAGCTCCTTTTTCTGGCAGACATTCTTTGTATACCCAACTTCATTCTGAAAATTTGTTTGAAAACAGTAACTGCAGGTAGGATAATTTTCATGAAGATATTTAGAGTCTCACTGTTCTCTACTTGTGATTGTTCACCAAATTACATTTATTTAGTACCTAGAAGTAGTTTTCCTCTTAATAATTATGCTGAGATATTTTGAGGGAAGATGTGACAAGTGTCCATCATTTAGATTTAAGTCATTGGTTTTCTTTTTGTTGCTATTTGTCTAGAGTGATGTACCAATTGATCTTTTGGATGTGGACAAGAATTCTGCTGTTGTCAGTTACAGTGCTTGTGATATTGAGGTAAATGATGGCTCCCTCTCTTAGCAGATACTTCTCTGGGAATAAGTATTAAGTGAAAACCTTGCATGTGGTATTAAGAGTTTTGTATAAAGCTATCTGGTAGTCATTACTGTTTCAATTATCTTTCAGAATGGAAACTTTCTTCTTGCAACTTACAGATGTCAGGCAAACACAACAAGGCTGGAATTGAAGGTAGGGAGGACTCTTCAAATCTTTTTACCAATGCTAACTTAATCAGACAGATGGCAGTAGCATTGTACTCTATGAAAATGAGAAAGGACTCAGAAAACTCTTGGTATTACTTGCCTGAAAGAAAAATCCAGTTTGTTGCTAATGAGAGATGACATTTACCCACATTTTAATTCACTAGTCAGACATTTTTGTTTCTACACATAATGATTATAATTATTATTATTAATAGCTTTCTCACCTCCATTTCTTTAATTCCAGATCAGATCAATTGAAGGGCAGTATGGCACTTTACAGGCATACATCACACCCAGGATTCAGCCCAAGACCTGCCAAGTGCGACAATACAGCATCAAACCACTGTCCCTACATCAGAGAACTCATGTATTTGATGATTCCAAGTAAGACCTTGGAAAAGTTGAATTCTAATCAATGATGATCATGTGATTGTTGTTGTGCAGTCAAGATCTCAGTTCCTGTAGTATTTATATGTTTTGCGGTGGTCTGATTATGTTCTCAAAAGTTTCTTCAGAGGTTGAAATAAGCATCTTGATTTTCAGTTCAGAAATTGTTTTTTTTTAGTTTCCAGTTTAAAGTTTAGTCTTCCATCTTAAGCTTTGTGTTTTATTCAGGCCAATGAACACATTGAAGTTGATGGGTCATTTCAGTTTTGCTGAAGTTCATTCCTGGGTCTGTTTCTGTCTCCCTGAAGTGCCAGACAGGTTTGTTTATTGAGATTAAGTAAATTAAGTGGGAGATTTATCCTTAGTAAGCATATACATGTATTTCACTGTTCTTTAAGCAATGGAAAATTGCAGCATGTCAATGACAAAGCAGAAATACAGAGATAAAAGGTAATCTACCACAAACTTACATTTTGTACACCTCTAGGACACCTATAGTTGTATTTCTGTGATATAAACATGATGCTACATTGTTGTCATCTCTGTTTTTGTTACAGAACTCCAGCTGGAGAGCAAGTGAGCTTTCATTTCCTGTCAACATTCCTTGACACACAGTTAGACTGTCAGTACAAGTATGTATTTGTTTAACAAATGTCAACAAACCCACTTTTACATTACATGTAGGTTTCCATATCTCTCAAGATGGCATGATGCTCTTAGGTTATCAGTGTAGAGTCAGAGTGAAGTCTTGTGTGTGTGTCTTTTATTTCTTTGCAGAAAAGGAGAAGCAGTCTTTAAATCAGACAATATCTCAACAATATCAATCCTCAAAGATGTTCTCACAAAAGAAGCTACGAAAAGAAAAATCAACCTCAACATTTCTTATGGTTTGCATCAACTTTCTGCTTTTTTACATTTGTCCTTTCCTTTTTTATTATAATTTACGTAGAGGTATACTCTTGGCTTGTTGCGTGCTGACTCATCATGACCTGGCTAGAGCTATGTTTCAAAACATCCATGGCCTTTGAATTGGCAGGAAGTTCGGAGGGTCCATCCTCATTTCGGATGCACCTCACAGTCACACCCAATTGAAATTTGTCATTTCAGATCTTAATGAAGATTCTGTGGTCCACACGCTGAACCTTATTCATCCAAAGCTGGAATACCAGCTTTTGCTGGCCAAGAAGGTCCAACTGATTGAAGGACTAAAGGTGTGTGGTTAAAAAGCTTTTAGCTTCATGTAGCATTATTTTATTACAGAAACATAAAATTTAAGTTGGATTTATGTTTTTCTGAAGGTTACCTTTGACATTTCTGCTTTTAGGAACTACAGATGCATGAAAGTGATATTGGATTCTTTGCTCCAGAATACCAAAAAATTCTAGGTGAGTTGGATTTTGGCAAAAATGTATAAAAGGGCAATGAAGCATTAGTAAGGCAATTTTCACCTTTCAAAAATACCCCAAGGCACTTTCCTTAGAGATGGAATAGGAATTTCCCAATGATAAGGCTAGTGGGTAAACAATATCTTCCTGGCATTTACCATCCCCGGGATTCTCAGGTATGCCTTTTTGTGGGAAAAGCATATACATTAATTTTTAATAAATTCACAAATACTTTTTTTATGAAGATGATGCAGAAAACCTTCAAGCAGAATATAAGAAGCAGCCCTGTCACTTGGAAAGACTTTATGGTATCCTTCATAGCAATAAATTTTACCAGTCTTTTTCCTTCACTTGTTACATTCTTACATGAACTCTTAATCTCATCATTTCAGATAATTTATTTGGGTGGGAGGTTTGAGAGTTAAGCACACTTTAATTGAGATGCAAGATGTTGAAGTCTCAGAAAACTTTGCTACGATCCAGTCATGAGAAATGCCTAAATAATCAGCAACAAAGAGATATAGTAAAACAAAAGCTGAACTTGCAGTACTTTGACAGAGTTGTGGTAGGGACACTAAATATCTTAACTTGTTTGGTAACATTTCTTAACAAGTTTAAGGTATGATTACTGACCTCTACATTGACAAGTTTAAGTTCAAGGTAAGAACTTTAATCCTGGTGTAAAGAAAATTTTTATTGTGACGTGACTGCAATCTGCCAGCTGAAGGTGACTCCTCTTTGCTTCTAGAGAGTGTCTGTACATATAATCCATAGATAAAGTTTTTGATCATTATGGTTTTAGAGATAAACGAACTTTTAATCAATTTTTTCATAATGTATAGTCAGAATAATCATATTGTTTTGATTGAGATTCAGTTGATACAATTAACTGGCCTAACTCTACATCATGAGACAAACAAAGTGCACNTATTTTGACTGGGCATAGAAAATTAAAGATTTGAGCAAATTAAAAAATTTTTGCACAGAAATACTCCAAAAGATAAGCTTATTTCGTTAAGCGAAAAAAAAATTTGGGTTTAGGTGCACTTTAAGCATTCATTTATGTACACATATTCTGTAGTCGGGAACGTGATGTGTTTCTTGTCGATTCTGCAATTTTCACCATTTTAATCAACAATAGAATTTCTCATGTGAACAAGTCTTGATGATTCAATTCTAGGGAATGAATGTGAAAAGCAAGGTTCCTATTCTTCTGGAGGTGCTGGACAATTACGATCTACAAAACCTTGTGGAATTCTTTGAAGGATCATAACCAGTCGTACTGCTTTACTTCCATGTTGAAAAAAGCTGTAAATATAAACCTCAGACAAGGTGTATAACAGACAAAATCACCACCTTGAGCACAACTGTATGTGGACTTGATTCATAATAGATCAAATTGAAAGCACTTGAATTAACCAGTGTATCCTTGGTTGATCTGTTTTTACTTCATTCACTTGGTTTTGTATTTTTACTTCATTCACTGGTTTAGTATTTTTACTTCATTCACTTGGTTTAGTATTTTTACTTCACTCACTTGGTTTTGTATTTTTTCAGTCATAAATTAGAAGTCTGTTTCATTAAGAGTGATTGGTCAGTTCTCACAAAATTTTACTGCCAAACTCTTTGTCTCTTACAAGTGATACTTTCTGCATAAGTTTGTAAATTTTCAGTCATTAAGTACTACAGCAATGCTCTTTTCTAGAAACCACTCCAGGATCAACTAACCATACAACTGATTTAACATGATACATCTTGGTTTATACCATAAACAACATGTAGTTTATTATTAAAAGGAGATTATTTATTTGTAATTAATGTACATAGTTGTGTGTTTGGGTTTTTAATCTTGCTTTGACTGCAAAAAGACAAATTCACTTGTACAAAATATTCATAAAGGTCACAATCATTGACACACTTAGTCATTGGCTTTCCGCTTTTTGCCCATGTTATTTCCAATTGATTAAAATAATTATTTGACACTTGTTCTATATATTTATTCTTACCCATCCCCAATATTCCAGTGACGTCGATTCACTCACGTTATCATTGTCCAAGATATTTTCTTTAAAACTAGTTATATTTGCCGCAATTGAAAAGAGCACTTTTCTGTGTTTGCTTGGACCGTAACAGAAATATGTTTTCCAAATCAGTTAGTAGTTTTCTTAAGAATCTTTTGTTCAGTTGCTGTTTCACTTCGTCTACTAGAATTCAATCGTGACCAGCTGGTGTGACTTGA